TTTCACTGGGGAGTCTGAGCTTTATGAATGAGCTTTTGAATGAAACATGCAAGACAGGAAGTTTGATATATCCTTCTTTTTAGACATCATGTGCCCAAAACACTACACATTCATTCAACAATAAAACAAACGTGTGTGTGGACTGATTATTGATGTGCAGCAGGCACTCATTTGAGTGGGAAAAAAAAAGTTTAGGAGCAAAGAATGGTTTTGATCAAGAAGGAAATGGAAAAAGGATTCGGAGGAAAAGGTGATGAGGATGACAACCACACCTCTTTATATGACAGAGAATCATCTGACTCTAGTGATTCTGATTCAGATCATTTAGGTGAGGCACATAAAGATAATCTGCGAGACCAGGAAATTCAGATAGACTGGGAGGGTTTTGAATGTGGGAGTATGAGTTTCATATGCATTAAATGAGCCATGCAAGTTATATATACCCTCAGTTTTATATGCTCATCCACACTACTTTTGGACACGGCCACTAAAGTTTCAGCTGACTGCATAAGGTATTAGTTTATTATTATTTAGTAATCATTAATATATGGCACTAACATTATCACTTCTTTAAAAACAATAATGCTGTTCCTGAACTTTGCAGAATCTCTTTCTAAACTTGACTGGATTTGACCTCTCCTCCTCTTCTTCACTGCAATGAGGACCATCGTGTTTGCTTTGCTGGCCGTGGCTGTCGGTATGTAGATCTCTCTTGTTAGTTATTGTCCATGTCAGTTGTTATATAGTGTCTACCTACACTGACCTATAATATTCCTTAGATACTCTTTAATGTTACTATGATACATACTACAAAATTGTTAACCAATAAATAAACTGTAAACATGACAAACAGAAACATGCACCTTGTGCAAAATTACATTTAATATATATATATATATATTTTTTTTTTTTTTTCTGTATTCAATAATTCAATGTTTTTTTATTCTGAAGCTTGTAGCGCAGGAAAGAAAATCATTGGAGGTTATGACTGTCCACCCAACTCCCAGCCCTGGCAAGTCTACCTTACTTCTAATGGGCAACCCTGGTGTGGAGGATCTCTGATTAATGAAAGATGGGTTGTATCTGCTGCTCACTGCAAAATGCCGTGAGTATATATCCTCACTTTTATTTATTTATTCATGAAAAGGAAAAATTAATATGATATTGTTTATTCTTGTCTAAATGTGTACTGAAATCGATGGTTGTAAAATGTAAGTGGCAGGGTTTCAAAAGAATTTATTATCTGTAATACTTGACATCATCATAATGTCTTAGAGATTAGATAAAACCCATTTGAGACTATCCATAGATGTAATATATAGGTAGGCAATATTGCTGTTAAATGTTGTATTACAGCCCAGTAATGCATGAGTTCCTTGTCAAATAGAGCTTCTCATCTTACTGTCCACCTGGGAGAGCACAATGTGTATGTTGAAGAAGGCACAGAGCAGCGGATCGGGGCAGAGAAAGTGATTCCTCACCCAAAATATAATGATTATACTTCTGACAATGATTTCATGCTGATCCAGCTGAAAGAGCCTGCCATCTTTAATGAGTATGTAAAGCCAATCCCTCTGGCGACCAGATGCTCTTCTGCTGGGGAGCAATGCTTGGTTTCTGGATGGGGCCGCACTGAAGAAGGTGAGATTTCAAGTAATAAAATAATTTTATGTTTTTATTTACATTATGGCAGTGCTTAAAGTATTATTTATATCATATATAAAATATAGGAAGTATATACTTCAATGTTTTTCATATTTCTTTTTTCCCAGATGGAAATCCTTCTGTGCTGCAGTGTCTGAAATTGCCTGTACTGTCAAAGGAACAGTGTGTGCATGCATACGGTAGTCAAAAAACTGAAAACATGTTCTGTGCTGGATTCATGAAAGGAGGCAAAGACTCATGTCAGGTACCTCACTGGCTTAGTCTTCTTCTTTGTTATACTGTATATTTTTATACCGACTTACACCTTTCTTTTAATTTTCCTATTTTTTTCTCAGGGTGATTCTGGCGGTCCTGTAGTGTGTAATGGGGAACTGCGAGGAGTTGTTTCCTGGGGTAAAGGCTGTGCTGAACAAGGCTATCCTGGGGTTTATGTTGAGGTGTGCCGCTACACTGCCTGGACCAAAAATATCATAGCTAACAACTAACTGTTTGTTAAGCCCGGCTAACAGGGACATTTTTTTATTTTTTATCTGAAATATCTGCAATTAAATTTAGCTTGAAACATGCATATGTTTGTCTGTCTAACTGTGAAATGGTCAGTGTATTTTTAAGTTGTTTTTATATATATATATATATATACACTGTATATAGTATATAAACAGTGTTCTCCATAAGTATTGGGACAGTAATGACAAAATTGCTTTGTTTGCTGTATGGTCAAAACATCTGCCATATCACCCTGCAGCCCAAGACTGATTGCCCACTGAAGCTAAGCAGGGCTGAGCCTGGTCAGTACCTGGATGGGAGACCTCTTGGGAAAACTAGGTTGCTGCTGGAAGAGGTGTTAGTGAGGCCAGCAGGGGGTGCTCACCCTGTGGTCTGCGTGGGTCCTAACGCCCCAGTATAGTGATGGGGACACTATACTGTCAAAAAGCACCGTCTTTCGGATGAGACGTTAAACCGAGGTCCTGACTCTCTGTGGTCATTAAAAATCCCATGGCACTTCTCGTAAAGAGTAGGGGTGTAACCCCGGTGTCCTGGCCAAATTGACCCCTGGCCCTTGTCAATCATGGCCTCATAATAATCCCCATCCACTTGATTGGCTCTATGACTTTCTCTCCTCTCCACCTGTAGCTGGTGTGTGGTGAGCGCACTGGCGCTGCTGTCCTGTGGCTGCCGTCGCATCATCCAAGTGGATGCTGCACACTGGTGGTGGTTGAGGAGAGAGCCCCCCACATGATTGTAAAGCGCTTTGGGTGTACAACAATACACAGTAAAGCGCTATATAAATGCATCATTCATTCATTCATTCATCTGTAAATATGATTAAAAGATTAATATGAGACAAAACTACAGAATGTCACATGTTATTATTAGCTGTTTCAACATATACATGTTTTACCAAATAAAAAGGACAACACTTTTAGAGTTCATTCCACTATCTGATGTGAGCATAAGTAATAGGACACTTGAACTTAAGGCAGATGTAAAAGATTAAAAGCTATTATTTAGTTGCAGATCCCTTGCGTGCAATCACAGCAGTGAGTCTGCGACCCACAGACATCACCTGACTCTTGGTCTCATCCTTTGAAATGCTTTTCCCAGCCTTTAATGCAGCCATTTCCAACTGTTGCTTGTTTGAGGGAGTTTCTGCCTTTAATCTCCTCTTCAGCTGGTGAAATTCATGTTCAGTTTAAATCTGGATTCAGTTCCCTTTTTTCTCCACATTTTTGCTTTCCCGTCACTTAGATAAAGGTTCATCTTTGTCTTATCTGTCCATAAAACTCAGTTCCAAAAATGTACTGTCTCACCTTTTTTGCAAACTCTAATCTTGCCTTTCTATTTTTGGTGCTGATCAGAGGTTTGCATCTTGATGTGTAGCCTCTGTAGTTCTGTGTCAAAGTCTCCTCTGGACCATAGATTGTCAGAGCATCACCTCAGCTTTCTGGAGCTTGTTGGTGATTTAACAGACACGTATTTTAGGGTTCATTTTCACAGCTTTTATGATTTGCCTGTCATCAACTGCTGTTGGTTTTCTCAGCCGATCAGGTCGTTGTTGTTTGCTGATGTCGCCAATGGTTTCCAAACTCTTAATTTCTCCATGCCATTTGTTTTTGCTATAGCTCTAATTGACTTCCTCTTTTCTTTTAGCATCCAACTTGCTTGCTTTTCTCTCAAATTTAGCTCCATTGTCTTCATCCTGGTTTGTGCATGTCGTCATCGAATGCAAGACTCAGAAAGCAGAAGCAATGGATATAACTGATATGACATATTCCCTGCTTGTAATATCTGAAGAAGTAATACAACAGGACACAGCTGATTACTTAGAAAGACCTGTGAGGCAACTGTTCCAATACTTATGCTCACATCAGATAGGGGTATGACACTCTAAAATTGCCGATCTTCTTAGCTGGTAAAACATGTGTGTGTTGAAGCACCCAATAATAAAATGTGACATCCTGTAGTTTTATCTCGTATTAATCTTTTAATCATATTTACAGATTTCTTGACTCCACAGCAAACAGAGCTATTTTGTCTTTACTGTCCCAAAATTTATGGAGGACACAGTATATATTAGTGCTGTCAAACCATAAATTGCGATTAATCGCATCCAAAATAAAAAATGTTGTTTACATAATATATGTGTGTTTACTTTATATATATATTATGTATATATAAATGCACACACATGCATATAAGAAAAATGTTACGTTTATATATTAAATATATTTATATATGATACAATTTATATGAATATAAATATATACATGTAAATACATGTAAATATTTTCAAAATATATGCTGTATGTGTGTGTCTTTATATATACATAATAAATATACACAGTACACACATATATTATGTAAACAAAAACTTTTATTTTGGATGCGATTTATTTGCATCCTCAGATTGAAGATTTTCAAATAGTTGTATCTTGGTTAAATGTTGTCCTATCAAACCATACATCAATGGAAAGCTTATTTAAGTGAAAGTGAAAGTGAAAGTGAAGTGACATGTAGCCAAGTATATGGTGACCCATACTCGGAATTTGTGCTCTGCATTTAACCCATCCAAGTGCACACACACAGCAGTGAACACACACACGAACACACACACACACACTGTGAACACACACCCGGAGCAGTGGGCAGCCATATTGCTGCGGCGCCCGGGGAGCATATTGCTGCGGCGCCCGGGGAGCAGTTGGGGGTTCGGTGCCTTGCTCAAGGGTCTCACCTCAGTCGTGGTATTGAAGGTGGAGCAGAGCGCTGTACATTCACTCCCCCCACCTACAATCCCTGCCAGACCTGAGACTCGAGTTACTCTGGGTTACAAGTCAGACTCTCTATCCATTAGACTGACTTAGACCACGACTCATTATTCAGCTTATTTATTCATCTTCATCTTCAGATGATGTATAAATGTCAAATAAAAAAAAAATAGACCCTTGTTTTGTGGTCCAGGGTCACTATATATATATATATATATATCAAGGTTGCTTCCAGTGTATAATGTAACTTTGTGAAAACATGGTAACTTTGTCAGTTGACTGAACAATAAAGACTTTTTTGCGCAAATCATAAAGTAGCCTAGCCTACATGACCTCAGTGCTTTGTCCTATATAATGCTCTGATATTCACGAAATGAAATATCAACGTACCTCTACATTTCGCCCCACCAAGTTTTGAGGTGCGAATGCGATGCGATCCCTGAAACAACTATTTATTTCAAGGACTACAACTATTTCTGTGAACTACAACTCCCACATAGAGTCTCAGTTTGTGCGTGACGTCACACAACCTGCATCTCAGTGTTGTGATATGGCGGTCTCACATAAAGCCCATCAGATAATGGCAAAATCAATGGTCTATCAAGAAAATGCAGAGTAGAAAAGATGCTGGGAGGATGAAAAAGAAAACCGGTGAGTTGGGGGTTTATATTAGTTAATGCATTGCTCTGGAGTCACACCTTTAAAGGCTATGCATACAACCCCGCACAGACGCGCCATGTAACAGGCAGTTTTGCACACAATGGGTCAGAACAGCAAATCTTCTTGCTGGCGAAACATTGAAGGATCTAACCAATGCACGAGTGAGAGTAAACAGCCATGTTCTTGTAGTCGTGTTTATTTCGACTTCTCTTTCCTTCGTTGCTCAAATGATTTTAATGAACCTTTGAAGTGGGCTGTGTCTCAAAACCTAGTGATGATGTACATTCATAGGCAGCAGATTTATCATATCAATAACCACTTGAACAGGTTTCTTTATGTTGTACACCTCACCAAGACGACTACTACATTAATTGTTTCATGAATGTTGCAAAGGTTGCATTTATTCAATTATTTTATCGAACAATTCTAATTATAAGACAGTTCGTTGCAGTTTTATTGATTGAGCGCTGAGAGTGCTGGTATAATCCAGCAGCACTTTTCATTGTTTGTGTCACTCCATATGTATGTATTGTATGTGTTCCAGACGGGCTGTCAGTCTGCATTAGTGGTGGGGATTGTTCATAGACTCTTTCTGTAGGTTACATTGATAGAGGAACCATCATTTTGAGTGAGTCATTGAATCATTCATTTAACCAATTTGTTCATAAACACTGATTTATTTAGGAAGAAAACACCACAACTGTATTTTGATCAGAGATGCAGTGGTCCAATTTTGCTTTGGCTTTGTTCATAACTATCGTCATTAGCAGAGCAAAACTGACAAAGTATCTGTGGCAGTATGTAAAATGTATGTGCCTATAACTGTAATCCAGTTTTTAATTAGTTACCCTGATTATCAAAAAATAAACATGTGTATTTAATAAAATAATTTAGAAGAATTTCTATTAAAATGTGTTCTTATTAAAAAAAAAAGTAGGTGGTTTAAACTGTCCATATTATGCCCATTTACAAGTTCATAATTCTATTTTTGGGGTCTGCTAGAATACATTTAGGCCTACATGATTTATATATATTATATATAAGTATATAATAAGTATTTATGTAAGTCTATGTCAAAACGAGAGATGAAATGAGAGTTTAAAGGGTGATTCAAATGTGAGTTTTGAGCAGTGTAGAGTAGCGCTTGTTTGTAATTTCTCCAATCATAAATGCAGACATGGTTTTATCATGTTTACGCGGCGCGATGCAATGCGTAAAAAGACAGTATAAGTCATTATAATCCGTAATTATGTCCCCACTGGA